TTCCTGCAGCCGCAGACAGCACAGAACCCCATACCCACTGCGCCCTACATTCATACCTCCATGATAAAGCACCCTCTCATCAAGTAACAGCGGAGCTTGCATCTAGTCTTTGGTGCATCTGAATCCTTAGCCTAGTGAAACAAGATTATTTGATTTCTTTCCCCCCCCCTAGTACTGATGGACTTGTGCAGGCCAGGTGCTCTACCCCAGAACTCTATCCCCAGCCCCAAGCACAGATCTGATAGTCCAGCCACCCACTGGATACACAGGGTGGAGTCACACCTGAAGGCGGAGCTACTTGGAACAGCACTCAATTGAAAACTTGTAAGTTGTTCATTTTCTGCAACTTTCCACTTGATATTTTTGGACTGTGAGTAACTGAAACCACAAGCAAGTGAAACCAAGGCTGGGGGCGGGGCAGGGCGGGGCACTAGACTTCTAATACAAACTGGATGCCCTCTAAACGCAGAAGATCTCCAAGAGCTAAAGAGACCCAAGTTAGCCGACAATCAAATGGAACTGTGCTAAAGATCCCTGCAGTCGAGGCGTACACTTCCGTCTTCCACCTCGCCGCTGCTAACCTTTGCTGTTTGTTTATGTGTAAGGGGAGGGCTGGCGCTGCTCGGCATGAGAGAACTTTCGGGATTCAGCTGTGTGGATTCTGGCAACGCCGCTCTCCAGGCTTGGCAGCAAGTACCTTTACACACAGAGCCATCTCGCCAGCCTTTCCATCTTTATTTGCGAGACAGGGTCTCTCACGGAACCCAGAGCGCCCAGATTTAGCTAGACTGACTGGCCAGTGGGCCCCACAGCACTGAGGTTACAGATGTGACACTGGCTCGGTTTCTACTTGGGCACAAACACAAACAAACACTTTACTCGTGGAGCGATCTCCCCTGCCCTATTTGTTTGTTTGAGACGAGATCTCATTACATGGTGCAGGCTGGCCTCAAATTTGCAATCTTCCTGCCCCAGCCTCTAGAGTGAAGGGACTACTGGCAAGTGGATCCACAGGTATTTTCATGGCTGCTGTAACAGTTTGCTTACTTGTGCGCCACCTCACAAGGCATCTGGTTCGGCTTCAGCAGCCTCAGCAAACGACTACCTCCTTGATTTCCTAAGATCACTTGCTTTTCACAGATAGGTCAAAACACTGTCGAAGCCGCAGTGTCTTTCAAAGAGCTCATTCATTTGCTGGGCGGAGTCCTGCAGACAGGGGAAGGGGCCCCACCCCCACAACCCCTCCCCCTCCCCCGCCAAAAACACCCGCTGTACACACCACTCAAAACCACAGCGGAACAACCCGCCCTGGGAAACACGGAGCCGCCCAAGCCGGCCAGCAAAGCGGAGCCAAACTCGAGTGGGGGTGGAGTAGAGGCAAGGGGACTTTTGGGGCAGGTACCAAACCTTGGGATCCGCTCCAGGGAGGGAGGAGCCCCAGATGGGAGGTCCCCAGGTCTCAGTGCCCGTACTGGCCAATAAGGACCCGCTAGCAAAACTCACCAAATTAGGAAAGCTGAGTGAGCAGGGCGGGACCCACGGCTGCTGGCTGGGAAGTCAGGCCCTTTCCCCAGCCCGCCCCGCCCTGGATCCTGTGGCCTGGGAGAGGAAGGGCAGGGCGTGTTTGTAAACATGAAGGCTCCACCTCTACACAGAAACTCAAACTGAAGAAGTCTTGGCAGGCCGGTACCTCAGGCCTCCTTTACAAAAGCTCAATGGGATTCCACAGTGGGAAGATAAACGGAGTCAACAGAGATCTTTCTTCGGGACATTTAAAGGCCCAGGGAGTCCGGGGCGGGTCCCAAATCACCTTCTCAACAGGTGACCAAGAATCTAGTCCCCTCTCCAAGGGGACCCTGCTGAGAACGCTGAGGAGACAAGAGCCTACTCCCTCCCAGCAGTATCAAGAATGCGGTAGAGGTAAAGACCGGACTTGAGGGGCCAACAAAGCACCGGACTGCCCCACCTGACCAACCTTTCCCCAACGTTGTAACCAGCTGGCTGCTGCTTGGTGTTTGAGCTGAAGATGACACAGCTTCCTCCTGCCTCCACTTCCCGAGAGCTGGGATTGGCATGCACCACTGTGCCTGCCTGCCTTCCTTCCTTCCTTTAGTTCAGGCTGGCCTCGAACACAAGCTTTCTCTGCATCACACTTTCAAAGTTGCCCCACCTGTTCCGCACGTAGGCATTTTGTGACTTTTAGTAGATTTGCTGTCTAACTAACAGGTTAAAGCTTTCTTAACTATCTGTGCACCATGAGCACTGAGGACAAGTGAGCAGGAAGCACGGGGCAGAGGGACTCTGGAGGAAACATGGTCTCTCACAGGGACCAAATAGTTTACTGATGTGGGAGTGTCATATATCAATCTGTTGATTTCATTGGTTAAGCAATAAAGAAACTGCTAGGCCCATTTGATAGGCCCACCCTTAGGTAGGTGGAGTAAACATCACAGAAGGCTGGGAGAAAGAAGCTGAGTCAGTGAGTCGCCATGATTCTCACACTCCAGATAGCCGCAAGTTAAGATCATTCCTGGTAAGCCAGCTCATGGGCTACAGCAGATTATTAGAAATGGGCTAGTCCAGGTGTGAGAGCTAGCCTAGAAGAGGCTAGATAGAAATGGGCCAAGCGGTGTTTAAAAGAATACAGTTTCCGTGTAATTATTTCGAGTAAAGCTAGCCGTGGGGGCGGCCGGGTGCCGGGGACGCAGCCCGCCACTCCTATTTCAACAATTTACCAACCAAACATTCACTCCTGCAATCCCAGCACTTGGGAGGCTGAGGCAGAGGACTACTGCAAATTTTAGGTCAGTCTTGATTACATATTGAGTTCTGGACCAGCCTAACTACAGTGTGAGACCCTGTCTCAAAAAACAAATCCGGGGTTCAGATAGCTGCTCAGAGAGTAAAGGGGCTTGCCATTAAGCCTTACCACCTGAGTTTGACTGAGCCCCAGGATCCACATGATGGGAGAGAAATAACTCCCAAAAGCTGTCCTCTGACCTTCACATGCTCTCCCCCAATAAACGAATACATAAATAAGTCAATATAATTAAAAACAAACAAATGAAATCAAAACCAATCTCTCTCTCTCTCTCTCTCCCTCTCTCTCTCACACACACACACACACACACACACACACACAAACCCCTGCTGCCCCGACTAGCTGTGAGCTCTAAGGAGGACTTGTGTTGGGTCCCACACATGGAGTCTGGGTGTGAGGACAGCGCTATGCGGTGACAAGGCTGAAGGACAAGTGGCAGGTGCTGAGCACAAAGCTGCTCCCTCTCACCACCACCTTCCTGAGAACTGAGCCCTTTTTGCAGGCTTCACAGGGACGGGAGGCACGTGGCCTGGGAAGCTGCTATGGTGAGCCCTACCAAAGATACAACCCATCACCCACATGGCCAGGACCACACTGGGGTTCTACGCCTGAGTTCTGCGAGTTCCCAAGCTGCACCTCTCGCTGGTGTCAAAAAAGAGGACGCCTACTCCAGACAAGGGACCCATGTACATACACTTCATGGAGGAAACAGATAAGTTCACAAAGGCAAACCAAGGGTTAAACCCCCCCCCACACACATACACAGTGTGTGTGTGCTCATGCTTACAGTAACACTCTTAACCATGTTGGGTTTCCACCAGTAAGAAGAACATCCTCAGATGTAGGCCCCTGACTATGAGCCTCAAGAACCAAGAATCAAAAATCTCTTATGTATAAACTTAAAAAGGGGGTAAACTCCAGCCAGGTGTGACATCGCACACCTATGATCTTAGCTGGTGACCGAGGTAGGAGGATCAAAAGTTCCCGGCCAGCCTGAGCACCAGGAAGCTTCCACGTCTATTAACCAGGTGGCTCAGTGGCAGCTGCCTAAAATTCCTTTACCCAGAGTGTTGGTTTGAGTAAGAATGACTCCCAGCTCCTGGAATCTGTCTCTCTCCATCCACCTCTGCTACTGCCCCAGTATCTGCCTGCCTGCCTGCCTGCCTGCCGCCATGCCTCCCACCATGACAGCCAAGGATTCACCCTCTGAGACTGTAAGCAAGCCCCCAATTAAATGCTTTCTTTTATAGTTGCCTTGGTCTTGGTGTCTCTTCACAGCAAGAGAAAAGTAAGTCACCTAAGTGTGCTAAATCTGGCTTTGATTCCTAGTACTGGAATGGGGGTAGGGTTAAATAAAGAGACAGCATTAAGTGTAACTCTGGTGAAAAAGGAGGTATAACTTTGGAGACCTAATGAGGTTGCCAATAGCAGTAACCCACGGCCATGGCTCAGAGACAGCACAGCCCTGGTTCTGCTGGAGAATAGTTCTCAGAGGTCCCCCAAGGAATGTGTCACACCTATGCCACAGTCTCAAGAGTCCTGGGCACTATCTGCCATCTCCACAGGGCTGGCCTGTGCCATGAGTTGAGGTGGAAGCCACAGGGGTCAGGGAACCACGGCCCCAGCACCTGATGGGGGCACAGCACTTTTAGAAGCATAAGGAACATGAGAGGCAGTGAGAGGGAAATCTGCTTCACTGAAAACCTCCTGCCAGAATCTGATCTCCCTTCTCTATTCTGAGATAGGGTCTTGCGTAAACCAGGCCGGCCTTGACTCACTATTAGTAGACATACTCCTGTATCCAGAATCCTAAGTACACACCACAACACCCAGTTTAGGACGTACTGGGGTCTGAACCCTGAACCTACACACTCTTCCCACAGAGCTACATCCTAGTCTGTTTGCTCTTGAGACAAAGTCTCTCTCATGAAGTGGCCAGGATGTCCCTGAACGTCCATGTAGCGACAGCTGGCTGTGCACTGGAGATCCTCCTGCTTCAGTCTTTGGAGCACTGGGCCACACACCCATTTGCCAGCTTGCTTTAGGAGGCCCCAACTCACAAATCTACAACCTGGACAGGTGGAGACTTGAGGGTGGCTCTCCCTGCAGGGCCTTCCAGAGTCTACTCCATCTCGAAGTCCCTGATGCATTCAGAATCTGAGCACGAGAGGTTGCTCACCTGATGGTGCCGGTCGGGGAAGGGATGGGGCTGACGAGGCTCCGGAGGTCCGGCTCCGGAATGTGGATCTTCAGTGGAGAGATCTGAGGGTAGAGTGGCCGCAGCGGGGATGCTGGGGCCTCCTCCTTATGGTACAGGGACGTGAACTGGATCTTGATGGCCGTGCTGGGGAACCGGAAGGTGCATCTGCAAAGGGAGGACAGTGGCTGGTGAAGCACAAGGTCACTGAGCACAAGAGCTGAGGTCCCCCCACCCACATGGCAGGAGCAGCAAGAGCCTTAAGCTCCACACCCCGGGACCCAAATTTGGGCTTACTCTGCATCAACTGTACTCACTATGAACAAAGGATATAAATACCCCAACAGGTGCCATGAGGACAAACCATGGAGCCTCCATGTACCAGGGCAGTAATGGTGACAATGAATGTGGTTCCTGACCCACGGGGGCAAATAGCTAAATGGAGCCTGTGCACAGAGCTCGTCCACTCATTCATTCATCTACACATGTATTTACTCCTCCAGGAAATCAGTAAACAGTTAAAAGACCCTGTTCCAGCTGAAAACAGACTCCACTCACTAATTCATTAGAAGACAGGGTCTCACTATGTGGTCCAGCCTGACCTGGAACTTGAGATCCTCCTGTCCCTGTCTCCTGAGTGCTGGGATGACAGGCATGCACCACCATGCCCAGCTTATGCGGGGATTCAAAAGAGAGACTCCTTCAAAGTATAATCAAATGCCACCACACAAAGGCAGAGGGGTGCCCCAGAGACATCGGCTGGGGGAGGGGGAGGGAAGGAGGGGAGGGAGAGAGAGAGAGAGAGAGAGAGAGAGAGAGAGAGCGAGCGCAAGCTCTATTTGGCTTCTCACTTTACAAGCCCAGAGCCAGGCATGTCTGAGTGACAGACAGACAAACTATTCTGACGCTGGAACAGCCAGGGAGGCCCTAGCACATGCTCAGACAGGTGAGCGAGGCCCCCCATGGCTAGGACATGGGCATTATTTGCTGAGCACATCTAGTCTCCAGCTTTGAGTGTGCATGTGGAGGCAGAGGCTCACACTAAGTGTCCTTCTCAGCCGCTCTCCACCTGCATTTTCAAGGGCCTCTCTCTGAACCTGGAACGCTCCATTTCAGCTAGACAGCTCAAGATCTGCCTGTCTCTGTGCTTGCATTGGTATGAAATAAATAGATACAACTTGGGGTGTGGGGGGGAAGAAAACATAATTTGAGGCCAACACAAGCCACACAGTTCAGGAGATCCTGAACAACAAAACCTGTTCTCAAAAACACCCCAATATGATTTCTACTCTGTTTAGCATCTCACAACCCAGGAACAGCTGTCATCAGAAATTTGGTTTGTGCAAATTCATGTGGGGCACTTGTGGACACGTGTACTGGGTGGGCAGACATCACCTCGGATGCCATTCCTCAGGCACTGCCCACCTTGTTTAGGGGACCTCAGGCTGGTTTATTTGCCTAAGCTGGTTGCCAGGGAGCCTGAGGAATCTCTCCAGCTGTAGCTCCCTAGCACTGGGATTATAGACTATGCCACCATACCATTATTATTATTATTTTTTTTATGTGAGTCCTAAGGATCAAACTCAGGTCCTCCTGCTTCTGTGGTGAGCATCTTACCCACCAAGCTGTATAACCCAGGTTCTCCATCAGCATTTGGACTTTGGAAAGTTCATCAGTCATTTTTCTAAGAAGTCTCCTCAGGTCTGAGCAGCGTCAGTTCTGCATGCCTATAAGCTTTTGCAAATCATCTAGTGCATGTCTGATGATGTCAGAGTGTCCAAACTAGGCACCTAGGGATGGAGCCTAGCTGGGGGCTACTGGTGTGTAACCTGGACTGGCTAAGAGTAACTTGAACTTGCTGGGCAGTGGTGGTGCACACCTTTAATCCCAGCACTCGGGAGGCAGAGACAGGCGGATCTCTGAGTTTGAGGCCAGCCTGGTCTACAGAGCAGGACAGCCAAGGTCACACAGAGAAACCCTATCTTGAAAAGCCATTTAAACAAAAGAAAGAAAAGAAAACAAAAGAAAATGCCTGCACTGAACAAACATGGTACATATGTGCATACATCTGACATACCTGGTCAACCCATGTTACACAGGAAGGTTGTCATGGCAACAAATTCCTCTCTCTGGTTCATTTGTCATGTGTTTCTTCCTCCCTCTCTACCCAGGGAACAGGAAGATAATGGTACATCTCGATCTGCTGGGAGGGTCCAAGGAGCCCAAAATCAAAACAGGAGTCCAACCTTAGCATCATCATGGCGACCAGAGTCTGTGGCTGTGGCCCATGCCTGTGGTCATAGCACGGTTTGGGTGTGACCTGTGGATCCTTGGCTGAGCTCAGGCTGAAGAACTTCAGCTAATTCTGGAGAGCCTGAAGGGCTCCCAAGGCCTTCCTTCCCTTCACTCAGACCCCAACCATTGGGTACAGCCGAAAGACAAATACTCAGAGTGGGGTTTGCTATGTGGATGGGGACCACCCGAGAACACAGGCAGCAGCCCTTACAGCCTCTTTGTCCTTCCTCCCTCGGCACCAACAGAAGGGATTGAACAAGAGTCATCTCCAAAGGAGCTGCCAGCTGAAACCACTATCCCTTTAAAAAATAGCATATGTATGTATATGAGAGAAAGAGAGAGACACAGAGCTATAGATAGAGATAGAGACAGAAAGCCAGGGAGAGAGACAGACCATGGATGCCAGAAGAGGCTCGGATCCGCTAGAGCTAGAGTTATAGGAGACTGTGCGTTGCCTGATGTGGGTGTGGGAATTGAACTGGGGTCCTCTTAAAGAGCAGTATGTGTTCTTTCACCCCTGAGCCCCAACAGCCAAGAATCTAAGAGCTGGAGACACAATCGAGTGGTAGAGCCCCTTGCCTCGAGTCCCCCACTGAACAACTAGTGTAGGGCTTCAGAGGGAACAGCTGTGTACCCTGCAGGCCCCACATTCTATCTCGAGCACTAACAGAGCCCAAGGTGAATGTGTGTGTGTTGACGGAGACTTTCGTAAAGCAGCCTTCCTTCCCTCCCTTCCATTCATGGTGCAGAGGATCATGTGTCTCCATGTTAGAAACATCTGATTTGATCTGCAGCATCAAGGGAGGAAGGGAAGGGAGAAAAGGCCTGTTTACTAAAAACATACCCAGCCCTAACTAAGGTCCTTAGGGGCACCACACCCCACTGTGAAGACAACCCAAAGAAACACGTTCAGTGACAAGCATCTTCAGGTTGCTTTCTGGAACAGCTCTCAACTCAACTCGTCCAAAATCCAACCCAAGGCAGCCACCCTGTCACCAGGAACTGGCGAGAGCAAAGTGTTGGCCAGCCCCCCCCCCCCCCCGGCTTGGCGGAGCTGCCTTCCCAGGGCACTCAGTGTCTTCTGTCACACCCTCCCTATAACACCCCACTTAGATTCAGGGCTCCCGGCTAGTCTTAGTTTCTTCTTCTGATGTTTATCTGTAACTCATGCTGACCTTTGAACTTCTCCTCATCCTCCTGCTTCAGGCTCCCAAGTGCTAGGATTACAGGCATGTGCCACCATACTCAGCTTATCTCCCCCGCCACACACACACTTTTTTGTTCTTTTGAGACAAGGTCTTCTATGAAGAACCAGCCTGGACCTCTTGGCAATCCCCCTGCTGCAGTCCTCCAAGTAGCTGTGATTTACAGATGTGAGTAAACATACCTGGCTCCTAGTTGGAATCTGGGGAGCCGTTTGCAATTTAAGTATCTTCAAGAAGGTGTCACACGTTGTCCTGACCTGCCATTCACAATGCCTGTCCTAGCCTGCTGAGGTCAAGGGGCCTACCAGATAGGATCCTCCCTGTCCATCATGGCGTCTACCATGGAGACAGGCTCTCAAGTCAGCACCCACCCAGGGGGGATTTTCCTGTTTTTTTGGTTTTTTTTTTGTTTTTTTTTTTTTTTAAGAAGGGGGTCTCTCTTGTAGCAAAAAAAAAAAAAAAAAAAAAAAAGCCCATGCCCATGATGAAGGAAAACTGACAGTAAACTGTCCTCCAAATGTAAAGGCGACAGAAAGCTGCCTGGGGCTGGCTGGGTTGGGAGGTGGCATGGTCGCTGAGGATGTGAACGAGAACTCTATTTTAGCACTAGTCACTCAGTGGGGAGATTTAAATGACTAGCTATGTGGCAGGTCAATTTTTTTAAAAAAGAAGATTTACTTGTTCATGCATTGTATGTACATGAGTGCTCTGTCTTCATGCATACAAGAAAAAATCTGACCCTACTGGTGATGGCTATGAGCCACCATGTGGGTGCTGGGAATTGAACTCAGAGGTCCTCTGGAAGAGCAGGCAAGTGCTCTTAACCACTGAGCCATCTCTCCAGCATCTGTGGCAGGTAAATCATACCAAAGTTCTTGCCTGCGGGTTCAGAGGCTGAACACGGAGTCCTGCCCTGTCTGGAAGCAAGGGGCTGGGCTGATGGTGTGGTGAGAACACTGTATCTAGCATCAGATCTCAGTACACAGTTGGCTTGATCATTACAGCCTTGGTTAGAGCTGGCGAGGTGGCTCAGAAGGAAAGGCGCTTTTGTACAGCAAGCACAAGAACCCGAGTTTGCTGTCTCTAATTCCAGTGTTCCCCAGGGGAACAGTGGTAAGAGAGAGCCTGCTGGCCAGCTGGTATACATGAATGACCAGACACAGTGGGAAGAGAGGACTAACACCTGAGGTTGTCCTCTGATCTCCATGCATGTGGTGTGGTACACGTATGCCTGCACTCACAGGAACACACACACACGTGAACACGCGCACACCACGCATGTGGCATGGTACATATGTGCCTGCACTCACAGAACACATACATGTGAACACACACCACGCATATGGCATGGTATGCATATGCCTGCACTCACAGGAACACACACATACATGTGAACACACACACCACACGTGTGGCATGGTACACGTGTCGGCACTCATAGGAACACACACATGTGAACACGCACTAGGGCACCATGCACTTCTCTGCAGCCCTGGCAGAACCTGAGCTTTACTGGGTCTCCTTGCTGCAGTTCAGAGCCTGGTGACCCTGTCTTTGAAGGAGGAATCAGGTAACCCGGGAGCTGCCAAGCTGTGGGAAAGTAAGGATGGAATACCGAGCTCTTACTGACTTGAGACAGTTAACTTCCTCTTGGTCACAGAGACAAGG